GTAGATCAGACTGCCCTGGAACTCAGTATGGATCCCAGGCTGGCATCGAACCTGCAGCGATCCTCCTGCCTCAGCCTCCCGAGTGCTGGGATTACAGGCGTGCGCCACGCACCCGGTGGAACAAGAATTTGAAGAGGAAAAATTTCATTCTGTTCCATTGTCTGCTCTTTGGCTATTTCCAAGAGAAGGGAAAAAACACCAACCAACTAAAAATGGCATCACTCCACACCATTAATTAATTAACTAATTCGTTGGTTCGTGCATTAAATACCTGCTGTTCCCAGAAACTTACTGAAGGGCTGGGCAGGATCTCGCCGGCCTTTCACTTCGGAAATCCTTGACAAGTTGATGCATTCTCTAGCGCGCATCTTCTTCTCGCGGCCTTCCCGTGGCTCAGTCACTACAGGTAGAGGGCAGAGCTGGCGCCGACCTCTGCGGCCCAGCTTGATTCCTCTCAGCACATCTGCTGCCAAGAACAGGGAGCCACGTGAATCCGCCCCGGCTGACCACGTGGAAGTAGGTTCTGAGAAAGATCTGGGAAGTTAGGAAAGCTTTTACAAAAGTCATCTGGGAGTTCGAGTAGGGGGCGCTGTGAGGGTGATCTAGACATCTGGGAGTGACCTTTGTTTTTTCTTTTCCCTTTGGACAGCGTCTCCCTGAATTGCCCAGGTCTGAAAATGGTCCTCTCGCCTCAGCCTCCAGAGTACCTGGGATCCAGGGTGTGCACCACCACACCCAGCTAAAACCTTTCACCAAGTGGGAGAATAACTGCTCTCACTGCGTTCCCAAGATGGGCCACAAATCACGGTGCTCCGCGGCTTTGCAGTACCACGTCACGGCAGTGACCTCGAACTGCCGCCTCGGACCCCCAGTGGGAGCCTGGCCCAGCTGAGGGCCCCAAACCGAGAGCGGGCGGAGGTGCCCTGGACTCGCGAGTCTGGAGTCCGGTCTCTAACGTTAAACGCTGCTCTCCGACAGCTGAGGATCAGCGATCCCCTGGGAGCAGGAAAGCAGCCGGCGAAAACGGACCAGGCGAACAAAGAGTGGAAGCGACTCCGCCGCCCTGGCAGCCCCGGGGAAACGTCGGGCCGTCTGCAAGCGCCGCCTGGCCTGAGCACCGGGCCCCGCTCACTCGGCTCCCG